ACCAATTTTTGATTTTAACTGTTGGATATAAATTGTCTTTGATTAGATTAAGAAATATTTATCTTTTAAAGTGATTTTTTATGCGAAATTAAATTAGTCGAGTTTCAAATAAGATATCGCATATCGAATAGGAAACAAAAGAAAAACAAATTGTCTACAACATCAAAATTTGGTTGTACTTCTCTTCTTCCTTTCTTATGCACCGCACTATATACATTATTAATTTACATATTTAAAAATAGATTACACATGTGATTATAAAGACCATCACGAATTAAATATATGACACCGATAATTTGAATTGCATTTATTGATAATTGAGTTGTTTGATAAGAATGTTGTTGTAATGTTGATATGATCGATTGGACATTTTCACCATGGTTGCAACTTGCAACTAAATAAAGTTTAGGTTTAATTTTTATACACTAATAATGCAATTTATTACATATTGTTTTTAGATGAGTGAAGTATTGTTAAATATGTCATTAATAAGTAATTGAGTATTATCGTATTATGTGTGGGAGAGGAAGCAGGCTAGCCTCCTCCTGATCTCATCTTGTTCGTTTTAGTAGTACTTTATTTAGTTATCGTGTAGTTTCTTATTCTTCAATATTTATTTTTATTTGTCGTCACATTTATTTTGTATCTTGCTATATTACAGACTCTTTTATACAATCATATATCGGGTACTGTCCTTAGGAGAAATTAGACATTTTGTAACAACTATAATCGTCATAAAAGACAACAAAGTCACCCTTTTGATTTTTGTTTCAAAAATAATCTTTATATCCTACAAAAACAGAAAAAATGTCTATATTCAATCTACTCCTTATTTGTGAAACTATATTATGCTTGTTTGTTTCTTTAATTTTACGATGGATTCCACTATTTAGATTTTAGACACGTCGCTTTATCGATGATCTACCTAACTTTTAGATCATAAAATAGTTAATAAAACAAAATGAAACTGAAAAGTTACTACCTTTATTGGAAAAAATTAACAAAAAACAAAAAAAAAAGTTACTATCCTTTTTCCACATGATTCACTAGTGTGTCCAATGGGATAATGCCACGTTTAGCCGCAAAATGTCCCTCAACTTTTATTTTACAATCATGAATAATTTTAATTAAAAAGACAATTAAGACTTTGTTATTAATGTATACACATGGAATTTGCACTATAATTAGCAACTATACAATTATAAAATGAATTATATTGCGTCTTTGTATCTCACTTGCTGAATTGCAAAGATTAAAATTTAAAAATAAACAAAAAAAAAAATAGTCTGCTACATTAAGCTTTTGTTATGCGCGGCTGGAAAAAAAAGTCAAATCAGAAAGGTTTATTGTACGTATGTAGTCTTATCCTACATTTCTACAAAGAATTTGTTTCCACGTCTCGAATCCATGACAACCTCTTAATCACATGATAATAAATATGCTTATATTGCGTCATTGCATCTCACTTGGTGAATTACAAAGATTAAAATCTTTAAAAAAAAGTCGCTCTCGTTATACGCAACGTCTGAAAAAGAGCCTGAACAGTCTTGTCCTGCATTTCTGTAAAAGAGTTATTTTCACGTCTCGAATTCGTGACAGGCACCTGATCACATAGTAGTAACTTTACTAATTACGCCAAGACTTCCATTGAAAGATTAAAATCTAATAATTAAGAAAATAATTATCATTCTTTGATTAAAAAATATTGCATTTATAAATAAAATTTTAGAATCCAGACAAATGTTACATTAGTAAAAAGATAGTACACTGTACTACTCAGTTTCTAGCCAATAAAATCTATTTAATTGCAAAGATATGGACTTTATCAATGAGACATTAATTAAAATATTTAATTATAAAGACACATGAAATGGTCATTTACCTTAATTAAAAACTTTAAAGTGTTGGTAATTTTTTCGACGTGGATGCATTTGAAGCCAGCATAAACACTTTATTAGTTGTTAAATTAAAATTGGTGGAATTTTTCGTTGTATAAATGGTTGGACACATTAAAAGTTAACTAATATTTGCAAAAGTTAAAACAATTCTCTTGTTTTTGAGAAATCTTACTTTAGATTGTCATTATATAATACTAAATTAAGATTAAAAAAAAGTAAATACGTGTCAAAAACTTAATCTGGCCAGTGTTAATTAAACTGTTTGATTATGAGATTAATATATAAAATTTACAAAGTACAAAGTACAAACTGCAAGTGCTACTTCAACTATCATTGGCCCCAATTATTTTTCAGAAGCGCATTATAATACTATAGTTAGTGGGCTTAATAAATTATGATATTAATACAAAGTACATATTCTCCTCAAGTATACTTTATATATTGTGTATAAATTAAAAGTAACAAAGGTGTAGCTTTAATTATATCTATCATTAAGATCTAAAAACTTAATTAACAATACATAATTAAATAGATGGAAACTAATAAGACGGAGAGAGCTAGGCACCATGCAAAAAGTTGATGAATGCATGGTTGTGTGACTTGTGTCCTATTTTTCACAAACATCTCTATTTCATCGAGCTTTCATTTGAATTCATATATATAGCGTTATGTTTTTTTATATGACTTGAAATTTATAATCTAGAAAGATATTTTACTACATTAGGAGAGTAATATATATTTGATCCAATTTCATCCGGTACTAGACAAAATGGTACCGAAAGGAATTCAAATTCGAATTTAGAGATGAATTTAGAATTTAAAATTTACATGTTCTTTCAATTAATGGCTTCAATTTATCAATGACTAGGTTTACACTTTAAATATTTATATATATGTTTAATGATTAAGGTAATATTATTAGGTTCACATAAAGCTATAAACGATATTTTACTTCAAAGTTGTCTTTGCCATGCGAGGCATTATTTTATTATATACAGAGGTGAAAGTTAATGGAAGTGAACAAATTGAAGTGTATCTTCCTAATTGATTTAGCTAACTAGCGTTTGATCAAATTTTGAAAATTTATAGTCAAATATTTATTTGATCATGAAACTTGATTAAAATTTTAAAATATGATCATCAAATATTTTCAAGTTCTCAGAAACTAGCTCATACGGCTTTTGAGTTTTGGGAACTAGCATTTAAAAACTTCAAAAAAATTCCAAATAAATATATGTCAAACACAACTTCAAAAACTCAATTTTTTATGATAAATATTACTCAATAACTGAGTATAAATGATAATAGATATGTTGTGACAAGTTAAATTATATTGATAATGTAAAATATTTTTATATCTTGCTTATGTAACTTAAATTCTAAGGATAGCAATGGAGTATTGGACATATAAACTCAACTACACTTAGATCTCAAGACCTAGTTCTTAATCATTGGAAATTTTTATGCAACTAATTAATTATTAGACCATCTTAATTTTGTCTAATATTAACTAATTAATTAAGGTATAAGTTTCATAAAGGTAAGTAAGAGAATACGATGAAGAAATCATTAATATTAGAAAGTTGATTGAACTCATGTTTTTCCATTGTTAGCATGTGACCAAGTCTTCACAAATTACTTCTCCATGAAGAAAGAGTCAAAAAGAAAAAGGAAATTAAAACCACTAATTAATTACCAAATATAATGTAAATGCTAGTAATATTTTCAGAATATATTGTTATGGCAAGCATTGATATAATTAATCAATTCACAAATCTTTGACTCGATTTGCTAAATAGTTAGTCAATAATAATTATGCAATAGCAAAAATATATACGTTATAATTAAGGATCGTTGTTGCTCACATTTAGTATAGTTTGCCTTATGATTGTGTAATTAAACAAAAAAAATAACATAAATATGTTTAATTCCACGCTATAATTAAAGATTTTGAATCTAGACTTATTTTGACTACAAAAGTTTTTTCTTTATTCACTTTGTCATGTTTTGTTTTACTAGAGTCAACTTGACTAATTTTTAGAGATAAATTTAAGTAGATTAATTCAATATTTTTCATTTTAAATTTAAATGTTTGAGAACTATATAAAAAATACTTTAAGTTGCAATTCTTCTCATATTAATATAATGCGAAAAATATATATTAAAATATTGGTCAAAGTTCCCACAGTTTGACTCTCAAAAAATAAAACATGACACATAAAATAAAACAAGTGAGTATAATAAGGACAAAACCAAAATAACTTGTGTAATACCACTTTATAATTAAAGATTTGAATCTAGACTCGTTTTGACCATGCTCTATTGACTTTTATTTGTCATATTTCACTTTACGAAAGTCAAATTGACTGATCTTATGGAGCCAAATTGAATTAGGTTAATTCACAATTTTAAATTCATATATATGTTCAAAAAATATTATAAATTATAATTCCTCTTATATATTAATATAATAAAAAATACATTTTACATAAATTATTGGTCAAAATCCTACATACCGTTTGACTTTCGAAAAGAAAATATTGCAAATAAAATTAATTGATGAAGTAATAAAGATAAAAATAATATATATATATATAACCAATGTAATTCCACGCCATAATTAAAGATTATGAATCTACACTTGTTTTTTACTACAATATAGTAAGGAACTTACCTTTTTTTTTTCTCACTTTAATTCCTATAAATAGGCTCAAAATCTTCCTTTCATATACTCCCTCTTCTCCGACAGAAAAAAAAATTTAACTGTGGCAAAAGAAATAATTTCATCTCCATAAGCATAAGGTATTTTTTTTCTTCATCTAAATTCATATGTAATTTCCATTAATTAACACAAGCCTTGGATATGTTTTGATTAAATCGAAATGGTACAATTTCCACATATATGGATTTTGTTGATTTGGTTACTTTTCTTTTTGTGCAAGTGTTTTTTACAATCGTTGAGTGAAAACCTTAAAGATCGAGATCCAAAACTAAAAAAAAAAGAAAAAAAAAGAGTCTAGTCCTTACAACAAGTACTTGTAGAATAATCAATACATATATATAAGTTGGTCTAAACATTTTTTTTTTGAGTTGATTGAAGTTATGGGATTGGCAAGACTCTCATCGATTGAAGATGGAAATGATTTCTCAATTGAGTATGCTTCTTGGCTGGTAAGTGTTTTTAATAGTACTTTTTTTTATTATAAGGTAAAGATGTGAATACTTTTTTGTTTAATTGAATTTGAATTTTGGAACAAATTAATTCAGGTGGAGCATCCTTGTGCATTGGAAAAATTTGAAGAAATGATGAAAATAGCAAAAGGGAAAAAGATAGTAATATTCTTGGATTATGATGGCACTTTGTCTGATATTGTGCCCAACCCTGAAGAAGCTTTTATGACTGACAAGGTATATATTTAATTAAAATTCTCTCAATTTTAATAATTTACTTGTCTTATTTTTTTGTATTTAATTCTCTCATAAGTGTATTCACATTTCTTATTTAAACAAACAAAAAAAAAACCCTTACAACTAGCCAAGTCAAAAGGGATCATCCACTTTTTATAATTATTAAAGTAAATTCAGAATTTTCATAATCTCATAGTAATTCTCCACTTTTTGACCATCTTTCTATAATTATGATAGGAAGATTTTTAACTCTCATCTTAATATTCATTTCTAGTCAAACCAAGACATTTTAAATTAGGTAAAAGAGGAAGTGTGCATTAGTTAATTAAAATGCATTATATGGAAAAGAAAAAAAGAATGGGATATATTTATAGTACTAGGTTTTCTTTATTTTTGAATTTCAGAATAACGATAAGGTCTTCTCCATGTAAATTATAAATTATGTGTTCGAATCATGGAAACACTCGTTATTAATGTTTATGTTAGGTTAAACTTTTATATCACACCCATTACCCATTGGAGTGGACCTTCCTGAACCCCATGTGAAATCAAAATGCTTTGTGCACCAACAATTAATCGCTCGAATTTCCCTTATGATATTTGCTTGAGATTGGTTTATATGATCAGTGAGGGTTTATATAATCGAACAGAGTCAAAGTTCTCTATGGTGTATGTATATATATATATATATATATAAACTTTTTTGTAATTATCAAATTAATTGAGAGTTTATTATAAATTGCAGATGAGAATGGTGCTAGGTGAAGTTGCTAATCGATTTCCTACAGCTATTATCAGTGGACGAAAACGTGAAAGGGTTTGTATATATTTTACTTACTTTGATTAATCATACATAAAATTAATAATTTAATAAGTCTAATTATAATTAGATAGAATTAATCCTACTAACTTTTTTTTTAATGATTTTAGGTACAAGATTTTGTACAATTGAAAAATGTTTATTATGCTGGAAGTCATGGGCTTGATATTGAAGCTCCCTTGGATTCAACAAATTCAAATGAAAAGGTTGGTTTTAAATTTTATGTAATATAAATTTTTATTGATTGTGTATATATGTTATGTGAAACTTCAAGGTTGTTAATTCATTTTTGTTGTTGGAAATTTCAGGATAACAAAGTTGTTTTCTATCAACCTGCAATAGAGTTTTTGCCTGAAAAACAAAAGGTATATATAATACTTGTTCAATATTTTGATTTGACACTATTTTACATCCCCCAAAAGAAGGGAGCTACATAAGTTAAATTTAGAGATGAAAGTCTTTTTTCCTTTCTCAACGTGAAATAATGATTGCATTATTCCCTATATATTGTTTCAATTATTAGATTCTTAATCTGTTGGGGGAGAGAACCAAAGGTATCAAAGGAGTCAATATTGAAGATAACAAATTCTGCATTTCTGTACACTACAGACATGTTCACACCAAGGTATAATTTTTTCCTCCATAAACCTATATTTGTATGCGATTATTTTTAATAAATATTTAATTCCAAACTCATAATTTCCATTTTAAAAATTTTACATGTTGAAACAAACAAGTTTAAATACTGAATTCGTCCTAGGTCAAAAGGTGATCTTATACATTATTAGAATCTTTAATGTCTTTTTATGCCTTATTTGTTAACTATAAACTCTTAAATATTTCAGGACTTTGGTAGTGTTGAGAATATCATTTCTGCTGTCTTAAAAGAACACCCAAACTTTCGTGTATCAACAGGAATAAAGGTAAATCTTTTAAAAAATATTTATGTGACATTTCTTGTTAATCAAACTTTATGTTAAATTAACAAGAATATAGAAAAACATTTAATTTTTTTTTTATCAATATAGGTGTTTGAGATAGGACCAAATATTGTGTGGAACAAAGGTCATGCATTGGAATATTTCTTAGAGAATCTTGGATTTGGAAATTCTGATGATGTTCTCCCAATATACATTGGGGATGATCGAACTGATGAAGATGCTTTCAAGGTAAATTCTATCTTCTATTTTGTATAAAAAAAAATCTTAACTTCTACGTGTTATTATTAAGAAAGTAAAATTTACGTATTTAAAATTTTTGTAGGTATTGCTGAAAAGAGGACAAGGTTTTCCAATTGTTGTTACTGCTTCTCCAAAAGACACCAAGGCTTTGTACTCTTTACGTGAACCAAAGGAAGTTATGGAGTTTTTGTTAGGTCTAGTGGCTTAATTTGGAACAATAGAATCAAGTTTATTTAGATGTTTTTAATATATTACTATATAGTTTAGACTAAACTGTTTAGTGATCAAGAGGTCACAATTCAAACATATTACAATTGAATGCGATTTATTTATAAATTGTATTTTTTAATTGCAATTTATAACTCATTATTATAAGTCGCGATGATAAGTTTAGATTTCCTATATATATATATATGTGTGATTTATAAGATGCATTTTGTTGAATGCTATATCTATATATATTTCTATTATTGTCTCCTACCATTTTGGGTTATGGGTGTGTTTGATGTGGAGGAAAATGACCTCTCTTTCAAAATTAAGGAAAATATTTTCTAAAACTTTTTCTTTTTCAAAAATATTTCATCCTTTATTTTATTTTTCTTATCCTACCCATACCTTGTACCCGACCCTCTCCATTTAAAAAAAATAATTAACTTTTTTTAAAAAAAAAATTTAAATATATTTTATCCCTACCACCAAACCAACACCCCGTCAAATGCTTTTGAAAAATATTTCAACCGTCAATATTTAAATTCTTTTCATTTTTTACACCCCACCCCACCCAGGCCATAACCGTCAATTTTTTTAAAAAAAAAATCATTTTTACTCCACCCTTACCCCTCACCCCCACCCCCCCGAACCACGTCAAAATTAATATTTTTTTTAAAAAAAAAAACGTTTTTGAAAAAATTTCTCGGGGTCAAGTCCTGGGTAAGATTTTGGAATGGCATCGGGTCTTATCCTAGTTTGGGTATTGAGGTCGGGTCCTAGATCAATTATCGGAGTTTATTTTCGGTTCATAAATTATTTTTCTAAAGAGTATTTTTTAGTCTCAAGCCAAAAATATAAAATATTTTCTGAAAAATATTTTTCATTCACCAACCAAACATTAAAAAAAAATCAGAAAATATTTTCTACTCACCAACCAACACATGAGAAAAACAAGTTAGAAATCTACTTGTTTCCAAGAAAACATTTTCCTTCATACCAAACACACCCTATATCTCTCCTCTCTTTCCCACCTCTCCATTCTATCTTCAATTATTGAGCAAAGACTTATAGTCAAGGGCAAATTTAAGTATAAAAAATGGGTCACCAGAATTGTGGTCATTCGATAAAATTCAATATATTACTTGTATAATTTATAAAATATAACAAATAGCAACTGAAGGAACCGATGATCACAAATCACTCGATGGCTCACTGGTTTGAGTGTTTGTTTTGCATTCGACTTTTTACCAGCATTGCTTTTTACTTCTTTTGTTTTTACAAAAAAATAATAAATGAATCTAAAAGTAGGTTCCATCGCAAGCATTCATTTCAGAAAAAACACAAAGCATTTTTCCTTCTTTTTTCATTCTTTCAACTGAAACCACCATTCTTAGTAAGCAAATTAGCAAAATCAATTATAATATTTTATATCTTATCTTACGTGCAATGGTCAGCAGCGGTTCAACCGCACAACTGGTCTGAAACAAAATCAAACTGAGGCCTTAAACTTCTTGAGATGCAAAATTGTATATTTTTATAATCAGATTCTTTTAATAAGTCTTTTTCAATCAATAATTTACATAACCAATGCATTTAATCTTTCTTGCGACATAATACTCTAGGTATATCAAATTTCTTCTAATAACTTGTTCTCTTAATATAATTTATTTTTTTTCAAATCATAATTAATATTTTTCCTATGAAAAACATATATCTATTATTGCTAAAATAAATGAGGCCCCTCAAATTTGAAAGCAAAAAATTATTGCTTTTTTCTTAAAGGCGCAAAATTGTCCCTAACAATGGTGCACCCATTTTCTTGAAATCCTAAATTCACAACCGCTTATAGTGATAAACAATATCGAAATAACATACATTATGTCTTCCAAGTAGTGTAGTACAGTTCACAAGTACTATGAATAACAATTTCCATTCAAAAACAAATAGTTTTTTTTTAAAAAAAAACATGAAAATATTATATATCTCAACATATGAAATTTTCCAACAAATATATAAAATTATTCAATATTTATTGCATTTGGAGCTTTTCAATCCAATAGTTGACAATTTGCTCTTTCCACGTGTTGTTCTCAAGGTACAACTCATAAAAGCTTACTTTTCCTCCCACTTCAAATTATTAATGCTGTTGTACTTCTAGTACCATAACACCCCTATATATTTACACCACCAAAAAAAAAAAGTTAATATATTTTTTTTAGATTATGAAAGAAAATGCATGAAGATTAATTATCCAAACATCAAACTACGTTAGTCAATATCTATCGAATTATTTATCACAAGTCAATTATTTTTAGAAGAGTTCGTTAAAATCGAACAAACATATTACTCACAACGTTAAGGAAAATATGAATTACCAGTGGAGTGTCAAGTTCCACGAAAATAGAGCTAAGTTCCAACTCCCAATCCGTAGAACAAATACAAGGCATTTTACTTTTATCAGCTTTGGTTGTATCTCTTATCAACTTTTCTATCATCTCTTTGACGCAGATTTTCTCGTCATTCGCTTCGTAAATATCCAACATTTTCTTAAAATTCAACTTCAGTCTTTGAGCCTGAAATTAACAACCAAAAGCATATCATGAAACTTTGGTGTATAATTTATGTATATCGATTGATTATGAATATTATCGGGTGACAATCCGATCCAAATGGAAAAATTACATAAGTGAAGGTCTTTTATTTAATAATTACCACTTTTAAGTATACTTTTAATTTATTACCATTTTTGTCAACTTTTAGCAATAGTTACTTAAAACAATTTTAAAACAAATTTGTTCCTTTTCATGTAATTTTTAAACTAAAGCAAGAAAAGTGTTGCCCATTCGCTCATATCCTCTCTCTCTCTCTTTTCTTTCTACTCTTCTATCCGAAAATTTTAGGGCTTTGTTGTTCTTTCTTCCCCATTTTTCAACACAGAATTCTAATGGAAGAAGGTAACGAAAATCGCCTAGAAGAAGTCCACGGATACTTAGTGATGTTGGTACTTCGAATCAGAAAGTTTATAGAAGAAGTCGAATAAGAGGTCAAGTTTCATCTCCTACTGCTACGGATGAAGTTAATGACAGTCCCAATTTTAGTTTGGGAATCGCACAAGTATCGAATGAGCAGAATCATTTGCATTCTTTAGGTTATATTTGAACCTATATTTCTTTGGGGGTGGGGTGGGGTGGGGGGTTTATTTTTAGTTGTTTTTTTATTAACTATGCATGATTTTTCTTTTGTCTTTGTCCTTCTTTCCATGAATCAGGATCTACTCAAAACTGGTTTGTGAGTAACGATGGTTTGTCCCTATTTTGTTTTGGTGGTCACATCCTGGGCATGAAGTTCATTAGTGTGAAGGTGGATGCATAATTAATTTTTTTTGGGTAGTTGACCAAACATTTCTGTTTTACTTAATTGCAAAATATCTCCTCTTTGTCCATTGTTTTGTCTAGAATTAGTGGGAGCTTGTCAAATAGCTGGTAACACTTGTTCGTGTTAATTTGGAAAACAGATGGAAAAGATGTGTAAATGAGAAGACACATCATATATTAGGAATAACATTGTTCCATGTTCTATCTGATCTTTTCTCCCGCACTCGAATGTTTTGTTCCAATGAATAAAGTGGAAATGTAGGTTTAAGTTGCTTTGGAAGTCAGTTTTTTGATAGAAAACAGAGCTTTAAGTGTATGACAACTAGCTCATTGTTTAGGCTGCTTGTATTGAAGTTGATAAGTTCTGGGTCTGGATTTGGAACCAGAAGTGGTCATTGGTGTTATTCATCTTTAATTCAACTAATTACTACCTTGCTTTGATAACTAAAGGTGTTCCCAGACAACAAGATGACTCGCTGTAAGTATTATCAAATAGGTATTCTTTTTTGTATTAAGTAGATATTTTGATAATAATTTTATATTGAATTTTTTAGGGACTGTGGAGTTTTCGTTGCTGCATTTGCAGAGTTTGTAAGTAATGGACAACATATTCTAAATCAACAAGTAAAGGCAGACATTCTCCAAAAGAGATTTGAAGCTATATTATGGGAATATGCAAGAAGGAAGCAAGCAAGTCACCTTCAAAGTGAAGACAAAAGACCGGATAGATAAAGAATATAGTTATATTAGTTAGTATGACTATGAAAACTATATGGTGTAAAAACAGTTTGTAGTTAGTATGGCTATGAATATTGGTCTATTGTAAGTCTTGGTATTATATACCCAACTATATTTTGTTTATGTAAGTCCTCTGTTTGAGGTTGTTCTTTCTTCGTGTCCTTACTGGGGCTGTCATGGTGATTGTTTCAGGTTTAGAGTTTTGGGGATTACCCAATGTGCCGATGTACTTGGCTAAAAGCATGAATCTGCTGTCTTTGTTGCCTTTGAACTGGGTGGGATCGTATGTGACTTGAGCTATAATAGTTGTTGGGTAATTGTCGATCTCGTAATCAGGTGTAGATTGTATCAATTCGTATTTGGGTATTTGCCGATTGTATGTGACTTGAGATATATGATATAAATGTCATGTTAACACCCTTTTGATCTTTTGACTTTTGTTTGTGGTCTCTGTCGATGAATCCTCCCTCTTTTTCTCTCCCCTACTGGTATATTCCCCAAACCCTTAGAAGGCTGAATTGGAAAGTACAAGCCAAAGGCTGGTTGAGGATGTTCCCAATGGCAAAGCAATCCTCTGAAAGTGGGTGATTTGGTTTGCATATAAGATTATGTGAGCATAGAAATTGGTTTATTATAAGGTGAATGAATGTTAGTGTAATATAGTTCAATGTAGCTTTTATTGTCATATTTGTTAGACATAGTAATGAGATGTACTATACTTTTTCTTACCTTTCTGAGTGCTTAGCTTTTATTGAGCAAATGTGTGTTGGCATGCGATGGTACTTGCTTGCACGAAAGATGTTTCTTTTTTTCGTATTTGGGTATTTACGGATCTCGTAATCAGGTGTAGATTATACCAATTCGTATTTGGGTGTTTCAACAGAGA